GGAAATGAAATAGGCTCTGGGCAGAAGTATAATTGGCATGTTCAAGGAAGAGCAACAGTGACCCAAAGCAAGCAAGGAAAAGCAGTAGGAGATGAGGTCTGAGAGAGTGAAGAGCAAGATCATCAAGGTCCTGTGGCATCTTGTAGAACATTGCAAAGGCTCTTGCCTTTACTCCAGTTGCAAAGGGAAGCTAATTAATATATGATTTTGAGAAAAGAAGTGACAAGTATGACACATAATTTTAAAAGATCACAACAGCTGCTGTGGTGAGGAGAGACTATAGGATGTCAAGGGTGACTGCAGGGAGGCCAGTCAGGAGGCTATTGCAGTAATTCAAGTGAGAAATAAATAATGGTGGCTTGGACCAGGCTGGTGGGAGTAGAATATCAAGAAGCAGTCAGATTGCTGGGTGCATTTTAATGTAAAAGCAGGATCTATTAAGGTTTTGTGTATTTGAGGAGTCTCTGTCTAGGGTGATATGGTTTGGCTGTGTCTCCACCCAAAATCTCATCTTGAATTGTAATCCCCATGTGTCAAAGGTGGGGCCAGGCGGAAGCAATTGGATGATGTGGGTGGTTTTTCCCCATGCTGTTCTCATAATAGTGAGTGAGTTTCACAAGAGCTTATAGTTTTATAAGCGTCCAGCACTTTCCCTGCTTGCACTCACTCCGTCCAACCACCATGTGAAGAAGTTGCCTGCTTCTTCTTTGCCTTCTGCCATGATTGTAAGTTTCCTGAGGCCTCCCCAGCAATGAGGAACTGTGAGTCACTTAACCCTGTTTTCCTTATAAATTACCCGGTCTCAGGTATTTCTTCATAGCAGTGTGAGAAAGGACTAATTCATAGGGTCTGGAAGCTAAAAGGTGGGTGGAAGCTCCATAGCCTCCTTAAAAATCAATATAAATTATCCAACAGAGGAAGCTGCTAAATTTCAAATGCAAGAAAAAGTTTGCACAATGATGTTGTGTCCCAGGAAAATGGAAGGCTTTTTAAGGGCACTCACCAAACTGTCAAGGAGACTGTCAGTCGTGTTTTTAATCAGCCTAGAATGGCTTCTCTGAGAAGGTTACATCATCTGGTAACCTCACTGGGAAAATAGCAGAGCAGGACATGTCAGCTATCTCCACTGACCGCCAATCTGAAGTTTGCCTTTCTGAGAACTTGTATTGCAAAACAAAGTGAGCGTTTTACTTGCCATAGGAGAAGAGAGAAGAAGACATGGAGATAAGAATACAAGTTCATTAGAAGAAGAGTATTCAGTTTCAAGAAGAGGGGCACTCACCCTAGACTCCAAATCCCCATCTCTCCTCTCCCCCACATCCTATCCATTACTACCTTCTCAAAATTTTCATCAATGAAAAGAAACTGACCCCAGATAGCTCAGTCTACACCCCAACCAATACAGCCCTGAAAAGGTAAACAGAATGTTGTGGTTATAATGTTTTATTACAAAAATAATATATGATCATTATTTAAAAATAAAGAAAGAAAATAGGTCATTAATAATTCCATTACCTTGAAACAATCACTTTCAATTTGTTATTAGAGGTTAGTCTGTTTTAACATTTCTGAAATCATATAGACTTACATGATTGTTCTCATGTAACCTGTAACATAAGCATTTCTCATGTTGCTACGATCTATACAAACCACTGTTAACAACAGTGGTTTGATTAATTGTATTGGCTATGTGGATGTGAAACAGAAGATTCTTGATACCAAGAGGGCTGAGGCGCAGAAGGTGCAGTCAGTCATCTGGGACCATTTTTTCTGTGGCTTTCAGGACACGGAGCTTCGGGGACTCAGATGACTCTGGAAGAGTTCTCTTTTGGAACTGCAGCATGCTCTCTCGTCTTCCCCAAGGGGAACTTAGTCCAGGAAATAGCAAATCCTCGCCTCTCTAATTCTCTTCTCAAATCCAGGGCAAGACAATGGAGACTTTATATGGTTCTGGTAATTGAGCTGTTTTTTCTTCTGGAGCTTCGGACTGTATACACAGTGAATAGGTGATTTTGTTCTCAGCTTGGAAAAGGCAGAAACCAGCTGTAGGGGTCCACAGAGAGGGCATAGGAAAGATGATGTTTAAGGGGCCAGGCATGGTGGCTGATGCTGGTCATCCCAGCACTTTGGGAAGCCAAGGCGGGCAGATCACTTGAGGCCAGAAGTTTGAGACCATCCTGGCCAACATGGCAAAACCCTACCTCCACTTAAAAAAAAATACAAAAATTAGCTGGGCGTGATGGCACACGCCTATAATCCCAGCTACTTGGGAGGCTGAGGCACGAGAATCACTTAAACTTGGGAGGCAGGGTTTGCAGTGAGCCAAGATAGCACCACCACACTCCAGCCTGGGCCACAGATTAAAACTCTGTTTCAAAAAAAAATGTTAAAGTAAAAATTTGAGGAACAATATACTTTTAAAAAGTAATTTGAGTAAGAAGCAGTTCATGAATTGGGCAACCCCAAACCAAAAGTTTAGTGTTCCAGTGGCAAAATGTCACAGGCAAGTATTTATTGGGAAAATGTGGAAACACAATAAAGACATTTAATTGATTTTCAATTACATAATTGTTTTTGGGGGGTGGGTGTCTTGTTAAAAAGTCCTTAGCCACATAATTATATCTTAGTAGGCGCTTATAATTGGCTGGGGTTGTCTTATTTCTAACATAAACAGTTAAGTTTTGACTACGCTTCTAGTATGACCCCAGTGAATTTTGCTTATGTTTGTAGTTTAAGCAAAGTTAAAGCTATTTCTAAGGCCCAGGTGGTTTTGTTTGCTCAGGAATTTTTCCAGTCTCCATTTCAATTTTACTTTAACGGTTCCCCTCTTTTTGTTATCCACTCAGCAAGCTGAGACTGTGACCACATGGCACAATGTTACTTTCAGTTATAACTGTTGACATAGTTGTTGGAAGGAAGAGTCAGGTAGAGGTTCTTATCGTCTTCAGCAGGTGCCCTAGGGTTCAGAGTCATGTAGCCGCCATCAACCGTTTCATAATCATTGTTGGTTTCTTCATGTTGTCTCGCTCTGATGGCAATCGTTTGATGTCCAAGTGCCTGCAGGAAAGCATTTAAAACTCATAAGGGACTTCAGTGCACCAGGGAGGTAACTACAATAACTATAAGGAGAATAATAGCCAAGGATTGAAAAATTCCTCTGAGCAAAGATTCTCGAGAGCTAAGACTTAACCAACTGAATAAATTAATGAATATAAATTAATATTAGGTGATGAAAAACTCATCTTTGTTCTTTAAAGTCTTTTAAACTTTAGGAGGCTATTGTTTTGGACTAAGCTCCTGTACTAGCCACAAACAGAACAGATTAAAAATCAAAATGGAATCACCCATGCTAAAGTTTTAAGTCACTAAACAGAAACTACATTGTTATCTGGCCTTTAGAAAAATCAGGAGAGATAACAACCTAATTTCCCAAACAGGCCAGTTTCAATTGGCATGTTTTAATCCTTACAAAAAAGTAACCTGATGTTAATCAACCAGTTATTTATTATTCTGTTTCCCTATTGCTCTCTTTTGCAACTTTAACCAACTTTAAAATAGCCAATCCACTTTAAATTCTTTGTTTCTGCTTTCTTCAGACCTTTTTCTGTCTTTGAGGCCAACCTCCTCTGCTGTAACTCATTGGAAACCTTATTCTAATTTAAGGAGGCAAGTGTTGCCCAGTTCTAGAATCACCATAAAGCCAATTGAGATTTTTAAGCATTTCTTTTGACATCAGTGGGAACACCAGCTCCTCCTTGTTAAGCTGCGAAGGTATCAAGAATTCCTATTTTAGGGTGTTGTTGACGCTAACTTGGCTCATTTTCTATTGTATTGCTTAAGAGGAATTCAGGGTATTAGTCTATTAAAAAACTGAAGTTAGGGCCGGGCGCGGTGGCTCAAGCCTGTAATCCCAGCACTTTGGGAGGCTGAGGAGGGTGGAACACGAGGTCAAGAGATCGAGACCATCCTGGTCAACATGGTGAAACCCCGTCTCTACTAAAAATACAAAAAATTAGCTGGGCATGGTGGCGCGTGCCTGTAATCCCAGCTACTCAGGAGGCTGAGGCAGGAGAATTGCCTGAACCCAGGAGGGGGAGGTTGCGGTGAGCCGAGATCGCGCCATTGCACTCCAGCCTGGGTAACATGAGTGAAACTCCGTCTCAAAAAAAAAAAAAAACTGAAGTTAATATTTGGAGCAAATTATGATCTTAGTTTTTGAGTTTAGAGGGCAGCTAGGTGAAACAATTTCTAGGTGAGAATTTGAAGCAAGTTTAAATGGTGTACTGAAGATGGCAGTTGCAATGTGATGTGATTTTCCGGTTTGCAATTTGAATGTCTCTGGTTATATCATTAAATATTCTGGTAAACTTTCTCAGTGACCCATATAGCAGCAGGCATTGAGATTGTCCATATGTGCACTGTTGTCGTGATTTTTCTGAAGCTTACAGACACCACTTTCAGTTTGCAGAGCTTCGGAAAAGGGCAGTTTTAGTTTTTAGTTGAAAAAAAATTCAGGAGTCAATCCAGTTTATAGGGAGATAATAAAACCTCAAAGAAAATGAACAGGCCTAGAATTCGACAATGGGTGCACAATAGTTTTCTACTAAAATATAATTGTTTTTATTCTGGTGAAAAATATTTTCATTTTCCATTTTTACCAAAAGTGAATGTTTTTTTCACAAAAATAAATCTAAGTAGTACCTATTTTTGGTTATAATCCAACTTGAATTTCACTTGTGTTTGCAGTTTAAGCAAAGATAAGGCTATTTCTAAGGCCTGGGTGGTTTTGTTTGCTCAGGAGTTTTCAGGCCCAGTCTCCGTTTAAATTTTGCATTAACAAAGGCAGAAAGTGAGGAAACAGGGGAGAAGGGATGGCGGGGGAGGAAAAGGAGGTGGCTGGGATTACTCACCTCAATTTGGGCAGCCTTCACAGGACCAATGGAACTGGCTGTGGGGGAAAAGAAAAGGATTATCCCGGGCAGTGCTATAGAAAAGGGCCTGCCCGTGCTGATGCTGAGGCTGCAAAACCATAACTAGACTCAAGACGAGGACTGCTAACCCCTTGACACAGTCCTGTAAGGCCAAGGGCTAAGTAAATACGGCTTCATGTATCCACCCTTGGGATCGCCCAGCCACAGCCTTCCCCACAGGCCACACTGGCAGAGGGAAGCAGTCACTTGGGCCACATTCTTTTCAGGGAATTGCTCTGAGTTTTCCTAGAAGCAAACCAGGCAGCTTGGGGATCTGAGATATTGGGGAAGGGGTGGGGGAGGAGTGTTCAGCATCAGAGTGAAGGAAAGTCCAGATTTTTGCTGACCACATCAGGGAGAGAAGGCTGAGGGCCATTTCCACATTGTTCTAATGTAGTGCATCTTTGTTGGAACTTTGAAGAATATACTATTCCATGACATTAAAAAGGAAGACAGAGTGAGAGTTCGAGAAAGAAACAGGAGGGAGGGAGGGAGAAAAAGAAAGGAAGGAAGGAAGGAAGGAAGGAAGGAAGGAAGGAAGGAAGGAAGGAAAGAAGGAAAAGGCTTTCTCTGGTTAGTGTTCAAAACACACCTAATTGCCTCAAGGAAGGAAGGAAGGGAGGAAAGGAGGAAGGGAAGGAAGAGCTTTCTCTGGTTAGTGTTCAAAACATACCTAATTGCCTCATGTTTTTGTCATAAACTGACTTAGCCAGTGTGAAAAGCAGCCTCGGTATCTGAAAGCCACATTTCTCAGGAAGTTGGGAGGTGTCTGAGACAATGCATCTAGTCTCTTCTCTCACTTCCTGAACACAGAGAGTCTTTACTGCCATGCTCCAAATTCTACAGCAAACCACATTCTGAATTCCCATTCTAATACATTCCCCCCAAATCCGAGCAACCCAGCTCTGTCTTTTGGGAAATCATCAGCCCCGTTGCCTGGCTGCATAAATGCCTTGTGAAACATGCTTCTGTCAGTATAGACAGAACCGCACATCAAGGCGACTAATCCAGTTGCTTGAACTTCTTTTTTTTCCCAGATCTGCTTTGGCCCTGGTGTGAACGCAGGCTGGTATCCCCTCTGGGCCGGGCCAGCGAACGTGTGACCTTGCTGAAAGCACAGCTGGAAGAGTGCTATTTTGCTCAAGCTCTCAAATCTGTTGGCTCTGCTCTGAGTCATACTCCAGCCATCTGAGTTGGGGTGTTTCAGGGCCTCTTTTTTCTGCCTGTTCCTACTGTCTTGGAGGCTCCCAGAGAAAGCCCCAGCGTCCTTTGTGCTCTGACTTTAACCACAGTCTGGAAGTTGCCTGGCATCCTCCTGTTCCTTTACACACTCCCACCTGGGCCAGGGCTTCGATAGCCCCTGGCTCTCACAGTGTCAGACCTAGAAGGGCTGAGAGGTCACCCCGGCCACCCACTCATATCCCCAGTGAGGAGACCGAACCCCATCAGGGAGACTATCTTGCTCAAGGCTCCAATGTGTGAGGGGGACAGAACCAGGCCAAAATTCAATCAACCTTGAGTGCGTGGGCATCGGAACCGAGCTTTGCCTGTAGGTTAGAGCCCACTAGTGCTCCTAGTCCCCCAGAATTTTCTCAAGCCCAAATCCCCTCTTAGTGTTCCACAGGGAGCTGAGCCTGGCCACTCTGCCCCATCCTTCCACAGAGGCAGACTCCTCAGCAGATGGAAGGGTTTTCAGGCCTCCTCCTTTTCCCCCTTAGACTCCTGCCTCCCACATCCGATTGGTCTCAGCTCTATAGCCCCTAGCCCTCTCCTTTCCCAGCTCTGCCAAAGCTCCTCAGAAAGACCAAAGTATCTCTGATTTCCTGCTCTGGAATATCCCCAGAAATTTGGACATAGCCCTCTCCTCTGTATCTGGGACTGATGTTTCACTTCTCATCTCCACTGAGGTCCTCCTCAGGCCCGGGAGTTAGACTCAGAGCTGACCAAGTGATTCGAGCCCCGGCCACCCCCACACCGCTGCTCCCTCCCTGGCTCCCAGCTGAACTCACACAAGCGCTTTCTTGCTGGCTCCAGTCCAGCCAGCAGCCCTGGTGAAGCATCACCAAATCCCTGAGACAACGCTGTACTCACCTGGTTTCTCAGGGAGGGTCTCTCCCATTTCCCTGCGCTCAGGGTTTCCTGGGAGAGCTGGGAGGGGCACACAGGAGGTTAGTATGGTTATGGGGTGGGGTCTGAGTCCTCAGGACCAATGACCCAGGCCAGGATTAGATGGGACCAGCTCAGGACTTCCCTCCGGCAGATGCTCCTGTCCTCCCACCCCCAGCTCCCCTGCTCAGGGACTGCTCCCACCCGGAAAAGGGCTGGTCCGGAGACAGAATTCAGCTCATCCGTGGGGACACCCAGGAGTGTGAGAAAGGCCATAGTATGGCATCTGTCTGAGGCTTGCTCTGCCTTTTAAAAACACCCCTGTGTCTCAGTCTCTCTCTATTTCTTTGTATTTACTTATCATCAGTAACTGAGGTCCTGGCTATGAACCGATTGCGAAGTGCTTTGTGAGGTGTTAGTGGGATTATTTCTCTTTCTCAGCAGCTTGCAGCACCCTCTCTACTCCCTCCTCGACCCCCATATGAGCCGCACCCAGCCTGAGTCCCTGCCTTGGCCCCGTGCCTAGAGAGTCCTCCTTCCTAGCCAAGCGCTGCCCTCTCACACCACCTCCTCCATAATGGCCGCAGCTCCTGTTTGTGTGCTGTTACTGCCTGCCAGGCACTCATTCATCCCCATGGCAATCCTGTGAGGTGAGTCCTGTTAGTGTCCCCAGTTTCCACATGAGACAACTGAGGCACAGAGAGGTGGAGAGGCTCACCTGGGTCATGCAGCTGGTACACCGTGGAACTAGATTTGAACCAGGCAGTCCAGCCCCACTACGTGCACACGCCATCACCACACGACGCTGCTCCCCCTAGACCTTCTTCAACTTGCTGGGCTATGAAGCCTCTTCTGTACTCCTATCCTAGGCTTTTCATGTCCCTATCATTGTTCTTATCCCATCTTATTACAATGACGTAGTTGTACTTCTGTCTTCCTCAACAATGCTGAGAACTCCCCAAGAGCAGGGACTGGACTTCATCTTGGCATCACCCACCATGTCTCACACGTTGGCTGACACATAAGCCAGTTTGTTCAAGTCTTGTCAAATGAATGATCTGATAAATGAATGAGTGGCTATAATACAACATGGGCCTAGATCTGAATGTGTATCTAGCCCAAAAAGAGGGACTCTGGAAATGTTTGGGTTTAAGGCCTGGGACACGTGGAAACTGATAACAAAAGGGACCAGGAGGAGCTACAAACCTGAAATCCGCTTTTTCCTGCAGTAGATCAAGGCCACTACAGCAGCAACAACGGCCACTACAGCAATCCCAGCGACCACAGCTGCAATGATCCCCATCAACGGAGAGCTCATGCTGGGCACTAGGGAAGACAGGACGGGCAGAGAGTACTTAGGATGGGCAGTACTCTCCTTGTCCCACCTTCCTCCTCCTCTAGTGCTTGTCACCCA